ACCTCCCATCTCTTCTTGTCCAACTTTTTTTTTTTTGTGGGTCCCTAATTGTGGCTTCCAGCTGTGTTGTTTCTCTGCTATTATTAGTGCTATGATGATTATCATCATTAATTAGCACACGCTGTTGTCTTTCTCCTCAAAACATTTCACTGGAGCATTGGAAACAATCAAATATTTGTACACTATGCTTTGTTCCTATTATTGCAATTTGCCCTTCCACTGTTCCAAAGGTGAGGCATCTTGTTCCTTGTTTCATTCATTCATTCTCCCTTTTAGGGAAAGTGTTGTAATCTAACAATCCTTATTTAATCCACACATTGGTTTAGAAAATATAGGAAAAGGAAAAAAAGGAACCTTGGTATGGACTTCAAAGGGAGAGACCTGAATTTGGCAGATGCGATGTCTGATGCTGTTTAAGACATAGGGGCACAGTTGAGAGAGTTGCTGGGACAAACGTGAAAGAAATCAATTTGGTGATGGGAGGAATTTTCTTCCGTTGAAGTATGAGGAAAAGGCAGAAGGGAGATGAGAGAAGTGTTTTTTTGGAACCACTTGATTTTGTACAGAGCAGGAAAATTATCTACTCTTTGCACCTCCCCCACCACCATATGCTTCCTTCAAGTTTCCTTTTTCTGCACTTGAAAGAACCAGAGTTTAATAGTATTCATGCATTTGAAGTGCTAGGCTCTTCCAAGCTTCCTCTATTTTTGCATTTATCATGAGAAGTAGCCAAAAAAAAAAAAAAAAATTCCAAGGTATAGGATAAGGTAAACATAAAATAAATAATGATTATTTAATGAAAAAAATCAAACTAAAAGGCAGTTTTTAAAAAGGTGGTTGAAATTAGTCAGGCATAGTGGCATCATGCCTGTAGTTCCAGCTACATGGGAGGCTGAGGCAGAAGGATCACCTGAACCCAGACGGTTGAGGCTGCAGTGAGCTGTGGTCGTGCCACTGCCCTCCTGCCTGGGTGACTGAGTGAGACCCTGTCAAAAAAATTTTAAAAAGGTGATGACCTTAAATAAACTGAGGTACGGGATCCCAGGTAGATTGTTCAGGATCAGTCTCCCTCAAAGTCTGGGCTGAGGGAACTTAGTAGGTTACCACAGCAGAACGCTCTTCTTGTAGATATTCCAGGGACCCGAACAAGTTGAAACAATTTCGTTAAAAGGTCAGATTTATTTAAGATGTCTTGAATTCAGATGTAATAGTAAAAGTAGACAGAGTGAAAGATGGTGAAAGTCATAGTCATCTTTATGGAAGATTTGCAATATGACATGAATTTATGCCAGACACAGCTCACTCTGTGATGTGTGGAAGTCCATCACCCAGAACCACCACTTAGTCAAGCAGAGAAATGTTCTTCCTTTTTTTGTTGAAAAGCATACATCACAGGCACAGGGCAGAGAATCGCTTAGGAGGCAGCTGACTAGGGGCCCTAAAAGGGGATTTTGTGGGAGCCTGAGCAAACCAAGGGGCATATAGAACTCATAATTCCTATCAAGCCAAAGCCTGCTTCTAAAATTCTGGTTTCTACAATCCTTCTACCAAACTTGCTTTTCCCTTTCAACTCTTCTGTAGAGAATCATTTAAATTAGAATTTGTAAAGCCAACCTTGGGGTGGGAGAATTGAGGAGAGGGAGAGAAGCACAGTACTTCCCAGGGCCCCGTAGAACCCAGTCATGATCCTGAACTTGGACTCCATTAGGACTAATCCTCTCCCCATTTCAGGAAGGAAGGCAGGGTGAAAGGGCAGACTTTGGAGTGGACAGACCTCCCTTCCAGTCCGGCCTCTACTGTTTACCCTTGTGTGGTCTTGGGCATAACTTTAATGCCAGTTTCTTTCTTCCAAGATGGGTTTCACACAGTGGTTTTGATTTGCTTTATAGATCAGAAACAATGTACACAAAGTGACTGGTAGGTGGTCCTGATCAATACATGGAAAGCATTTGGCAACACTGATCTCAAGGCCCAGAGTCAGCCATTCCTGTTTCTACCTTTCATCTTTGGTTCCAAGATCCCATTCTGTCCACAAAACTGATGCTGAGATTGGAAATAGCTACACTGGTTTCTGCTGTACCATCCTCACTTTCACCGCTTCGCAGCAAATGACAGCCACTGCCAGTTCCACATCTGAAGGCACAGGGATAAAGCAACTGGCAGGGAAGAGGTGTCGAGTGTGGGCAACCACTCGGTAGCAAACACCCGGGCAGTGGGCCTGTAGCTTCTTTCCACACGCCCACTTTCTGGTCATTCCTACTAGCAATCAAGGTTTCTGGGTCCACAGTACCCCCTGATGGCTGACAGAGGGAACTTTCTCTTCCCAACTAGTCTCTTTTAGTGGAACTTCCCTGTCTTTCACAGGTCACTGCTTTGATGGTTCCGTCATGGACCATTCATTTCTCACTAACTTTGTGCAGCCTTTCCTGACTTGCTTTTTCAAAAAATTTCCTGTTCAATTATTTCAGGAACATCTATTTCCCTTCTTATTTCTTTCCTTCACTTGGGTTCATTTATGAATCCCCACATTTCTGCAATTATGGCTGATAAGTATAACAGCGGGATGAATGCACTTGTCTGTCAAGAAAAACTCCATACATTTAGAAGTAAAATAAGACATCATGTAGATCCAGAAGCATTAATCTCTAAAGCTCTCTGAGACACCCAGATGTCTTCCTGCCTGACCAAAAGGGCCTTCATCTTTCTCCAAGTAACACTCATCTTTTCATGGCATTATTCTCCTACTTATTTAATTGCCAAAATTGTACTAGTTTGTCCCCTATTGTTTCATTGCAAATATAATTCAGTTACTATAAGGGTTAAGTACATTCCTGCGGGCTATTCTGGAAACCAAAGCACAATCTTTCAGCATTAGTCCTCCATGGGAAAGTGAATTCAAAGTTTCGGACAATTGCTTTAGGATAGACTTTGGAAAATATTACCTATTGTAATTTGATATCAGAAATTTTTGGCTGCGAGTCGTCAGTTTCTAAAAACTCATATTGATATATGGATTTTCTGGTTTTTATCTTTTGGACTATGACGTCTACTAGGTGTAACTTATCTGGGCAGACATTTGGTTCCTGCTTTGTAAAAGGAAAAATATACTAACCGGATCCTGATTTGATATGTTATGAAATTGTCCTAGAAGGTTATTAAATTCATTTTGATGACTATAGATTGCTTCTTGGTGAAAATACATCAAACATGTCTGAAAATATAAATATTTATTTTTCTTAATGTAAATTCAAATTATACTGATGATTTGTGACCTTATTTGTCAAAGTTTGAACGAGAATACTTTAAAAAATACAAATGATTTGGGCATAAATTATTAAAATGGCATTAATATTTTGTTTAAATGCTGAATAATTCTGTTTTAGGAAGCTTATTCTTAAACTAAAGGTCACTAACTAGAAGGTATCTCAAGTCCTGATAAAATAACTAATTAAAATATTTTTGTCACAAATTATCATCAAATACTTACATTTATAAGTAAAAACTTATAAAATTGGTATGAAATAACTAAATTATTTAATAAAATGTTAAACTATTATGACTATATATAGACAGGCATAAAAAATATAATTTTAAAATGCTTTTAGAAAATACTTCCCTCATTTGATCTTAACCCAAGGTATTGCTTGCACAGGATTTTTCTTTGAAATGATTTCCATATTTATATAACTGAAATTATTTTCTCCTTTAACACAAAATATACAAATTAAAGTAACAAATAAATATCACCCAGCCAATTTCATCACAATTCTGTGAACATGGGTATTCGACATAAATTCTAAATGTATTCTAATATAACTAAAAATTACAAAGAAATCAAGAATAATGTCACAAAATAGTTGTGTGGTGCAAAAGGTATTTGAAATGATTGTTCATCTAAGACCATTATTTGAGCTGACATGTGCACATTTTTCTGGAAAGAGATATTTGTTTTCTGATAATAGTTACCTTTTGAATTCATAAAGTTTTGTGGTACAAACGAAAATGTTCAGTGTTAATGTTTTTGAAAGCATTACATTTAAATTATTTTCTCAGGACCCAAAGAGAAAACACCAGAGGAAAGATAACCAGACTGGATTGTTTAAAATGTATTTTCCCTTTAATTAAATAAGAAACATCTGTCTACGGATTTTGGAAATGAATGTAAGCCATCCACACTCTGCCTGTACTAGTTTGCATCCAGTGTCTGATATTTTGAAAGAAAATTCTTTCTTTCTGTAAAGAATTAAATAGCAACAGGGAGTGATGTCTGGGTCTGCAGCAGCTAAGTCTGGGCTCCGGAGTTTGGACACTGGAAATGCTACGGATCTCTCTTTTCCAGACCTGTCCTTGAGAAGCAACTACATTCTCTCCATAGCTAAGGCTAGAATGTTGCTTTTGCACTTCTCCAGAGCATCCGCTCACCCTGAAAATGCTCCTCGCAGAACAGTGAGGAGGCAGACGTTGCTAGGACACACCCAAGCACTCAAGGTCAAAATACTGTCCCTTTTCTAGGGTTCACTAAACATCATCTTCAACTTTATTCAGGATTGAAAATGCCGATTTCTCGAGGGACCTTTACAGCCCACAGCACAGACCGATCAGGCGAAAAAAGTACAAAGGGTGGGAGGTACTCGCAGGTTCTTACTTATAAGTGGGAACTAAACCAAGGATCTGCAAAGGCATGGAGAATGGTGTAATGGACATTGGAGACTCAGAAGTGGGGGGAGAGCAAAAAATCACCTGTGGGGTACACTGTGCGCACGTGGGAGTGGTGGACGCAGTTAAAGCCCAGACTTCGTCACCACTATGCAATGCAGCCACGTAACCAAAGACTAGTTGTACTCCTAAATCTATGAAATCAAGAAAATGATTTAAAAACAACAACAACCACAAGCAAACCCAAGAAGAAGAAGAGAACAAGAAAGTGGGAGGTTGACTCAGAGATGACAATGGTTCTTTCAAACCGGGACCCGTGGTCCAGAATAACAAATCCCACTTACTGGTGGTGTCAAACGGTATCTGCTTGCACTGCGCCGAACCCTCCACCGGCCACGGACAGTAATAGACGGCTCCCCCTGCCACGATGTCGGGCTGGCTGGTGTTGGCTTTGGGCGCCCCCACCAAGACGCTGGCTCTGCAGAAGGGGTGGGGAAGTCACTCCTCGGGAATCGCAAGCGTGAGCGCGTGCGGCGCAGTCTCCGCAGCGAGATGCCCCCAGACACCCGGGGAGGCCAGGGGGGCAGACAGGGACTCGGGGTGGAGACGGACTGTCAAACGTGATTTCCTCTCGGAAACCCATGGGCGTCGGCAACCTGGTTTGGAAGAGGTTGCAGACGGCCGGGATTCTTCCCTAGGTGGAGCTGTGTGTATACAGTGAGATGAGAACGGGGCGGGGTGGGGGGAGCGGAAGACAGAGCCCGGCTGCGTGTCGCCCACCGCGCTCGCACCCGGACACAACCCTTACGGGAGCTGTGTCAACGGACCACGTTGTGGCCGCTGCTTTAACTGCCTGGGGACTGCTGGGCCCCGTGGTCTCCGCTGGAAGATGCGCAAGTCGTTGCCCCGGGAGCTCCCCGGGACTCGCGTGTTCCGTGCAAGTGGCGTGTCTCCAGCGCAAAGTTCACAGGGGGACAGGCGGGCTCGGTGGCGGGGAGCGGGACGGAACCCCGAGCGGGCGGCGGGACGGTGTCCTCCAGGCTGCGGGCGCCGGACCTGGGGGCCGGTGCGCCCCCCGCGCGCCCCCTCCCCGGGCCCCGCGACTTACGTG